AACACAGAGACAGGGAAGGAACAGACAGTGGTTCTACACTTTTCCAGAAAAACAGGCGGTAACAGTCCCTGGAAATGCCAGCATAGCACCTTCTTCTAGACAATTTTATTCTTCTTAAATTTTTTGTTATTTATTCAAAATAAACTCATAAGTACAAGGCAAGCTGAAGTGCTGGCCAGGATTGCACCTGACAGGAGAATCCTACTCAAGAGCTTATTGAGGAATTCATATAGAAGCCTGTCACAAAGGTACCCTGCAAAATAACATATCCATGGCAACAAGGCAGAATGGTGCCTTTTCTGGTCAGGGTTAATTCAGTCATTTGACTGCGTGGGAGAGGCAATTCTGATCACAAGAAAGAGAAATCAAAGCTCTGGAAAGGCAGAATTGGGAATGTTCAGTTGTCTCCCAAGCAGCTCTGCCAAGCAACTTCTTGTGGCCTGGAAAGGCGCCGAGGTCACATTTTACTGTATTTGTTGCAGTTGTTCTTACATGGCAGAGCTCATGTCTCAAGGCTGCTGTCAAGATGTTACAGTGAACCAAAAATGTTGCTCTTCAAAATAATTGCTCTACTTCAAAATACATGTATTTCCCAGACTCTTAGTGTGCACCACAAGGCACTGACAAACTGATTCGCATTCAGCACCACAATAGATGCTCACCAACAGCAAGCTCCGCACGAGTCCCATGGATGAGGAATTTACGCTTCCATGGGGAGCAAAAAAAATTCCATTTTCTTCTGCATTTAAAATATTTAAGAGACATTTAATATGTATGGCAGGCCAAGGAACCACCTCTGCAGGCTCTCTCCTGAGGATGCAGGCGCACAGAAAACTAATGTGTCAGCATGCAGAACCAGCCCGAGGCCAGGGTGATGGTCAGGAACTGAACGCGGCCCCATTTCCCTACGGGGCCCTCCCACAGGGCACAGGGAGGATGACGAGGAGACGGCTGACCCCAGCAGGGGGCACTGCGGGACAAATTAATAATTCAGATTTCACGCATTTGGGAGGGTACCCAAAAAGAGAAGTGGCTTGAGAGCAGGGCCAGCAGAGACACGTTCTGCAGCACGGCAAAAACGCCTTCACGTATAAAGCCTTTCACTGGAAAGACTGTTTTTTATCAAAGCTTCCATTTACATGAAAACAGGTTCAAACTGAAACGCATAGCCTGTTGGTATGAAAAATACAATAATAATAATAAATTAACCACAATATTTTCATTTTTCCTGTCTCACATGAAAAGAACAGAAGTAGAGATTTAAAAAATAAACAAGCAAAGAAAAAATAAAATCCTCAACCACCAACATCCTCAGAACAGAACACTGGGAAAAAAAAGAGATATCTAATTCTTTTACAATTAAATAAAACATATACATATTTATATTTGTGTGATGCATATAATAATGTTTGATACATTAAGAATTCTCTAGCATAAAAAGGGATTAAAAACAGTAAAAATCATCAGTAAAAATCTCATCTTTTCATTAACAAAAAGGAATAACAAAAAGGTCTCTAATGCTCTGATGGCAAATTTGCCCTTACTTTTGTTGTGCCGAAGTAACCTCCAGCCCCAAATCCTATCATTCCAAGAGGGATTCAGCGTAGGGAATCACCCACAGACAGGACAGCTGCCATCGCAGCAGCCGAAGCCAGGCTGTGTGGAGCAAACAACCCCCCGGACAGCTATCGGGCAGGGCTGCCATGTGCTCCGCTGCGCTGAGGCTCACGAGGGAGCCGCGTCCCACGTGCTCGCGCAAGGCCCACCGAGCACCCAGGCTGCCCCTAGGTTACCATGAGTAACGCAAAGAGCGAACCGAGCCCAAATGAGGGGGGAACAGCCAACACTTGAATGGATTTTAACATCAAGTGACTCCAAACGCATGACACAAGGCCCGTGTTTTGCGCTTCTAATGCGGAACAGGCACGCAGAGCAGTCATCCCTATTCTCCCCTTCGAGCGTGTTTGAAGGGAGGAAGCGACTGTCGCCAGCAACCGAGCGCACAAGGCCAAACCACAGGCACCAGCATCTTTTGTCACTGTTCCTACGGCTCCATTCCACATGCGCTTTTCACTTTTTCCACAACACTGTTATTGGCTTCAGTTACTTCCCAAAATCCTAAAGGGACAATCCTAAACTCAATCCAAGAATAAGGACCATCCAAGTTCTCTCCATTCATGCTACAGTAGAGCAGTATTTTGTATTTTTGACTTATTTTTCGCTCTCAGAGGCCACTCCAGGAGACTGCTGCCTCCTCGCAAGCTGACTAGAGGGAACAGCACATCAGCGCACCCTTAACAGGAACACCCAAGGTCGCCCATTTCTCAGAAGGTTCACACAGAGATGGAGAGCTAAAATAGATTTCCCTGGAAAAAGGCAGCTCAGAGGCTTGCTCTGTTTATATTTCAGTGGTCACAGTCCTATCAGAAAGCAGAAAGAATGTTACAGGACCCAAGTTGTCAACATTTGAGTAAGGTGTACCCTCTTTCCTCTCACACTTACCTCTCCTGTAACGAGGTATTTTCCATCTGGAGAGAAAGCAAGGGCTGTGATCGTTTTCCTAAAACAGAAAGAATGGCAACAAAATGTTTCCAGCAAGCAATTTCATTTCGATATGTCATGACTAGAGAGGACAGACTGGGGGGGGGAAAAAAAAAAAAAAGAAAGCTCAGATTACACCCAATAGCCTGCCAACAGTTTCTCTTTACCACAAGTCTAACACTTGTCATGGAGATTCCCTGCTGCCCCAATCTCTAGCAGGATGCCTACAGCTCCAGGAAAGCTCCAAAAGGTAAGGTTCATCTTCATATCTGTGCCTTTATTCCAGTTGAAGGGACACACCAATCCTGGCTCCAAGAACAAGGTCACAGTTTCAGGTTGGAGGTGGAGGGGGGAATCATATGCAGATACCATGGGATTCTAGTAAGTTCTCCTCCATGTAGTGCTTTTTAAAACTTCCTCGTGTGGTCACAATATTTTGAAGTGTTGCCTAGTTGGCAACAGCCATTCACATTAGGAGGAGTTACAAGCAAACCAGCAGGCGGACTCTGCCCAAGGCAGCGCTCGCTGCAGGAATTCATCTGGGAGCAACAGTTTTCTCAGCAGCTCTTACACTTCGCTCAAGCCATAAAAGCCTTGAAAGTCACCTCCCACAGAGAACAAGCTTGAAACTTTACTCACCTGGAGCTGTTTAGAATATGGTGTTGCTTATTTTTCCTGGGGTTGAACAGCACCACAACACACCTAGATGGAGGAAAAAAGAAAAAAAAATGTTGACATAACAGCCATGGACATAAAGAAAAGAAATGGAGCCATGCTTGTTGGCAGAGCAGAAGCACAAGCAGTCCCAAAGGGCTGTTCAATCCCCTAACCTCACGCTCTGAGCTGTGGTTAGCTGGAGACTGCAAAGGAAAGGAGCAGCTCAGAGGAGAAGAAATCCCAAGCATCTCTCACATTGAGGAGTATAATACCATAAATAATTTCCTTTGGCACATACGAGCTCCAAGTCTCTCCTTGCTCAAGCTGGACAGAAAGGTTAATTATGAAAGCCTGTGTAATGGGTCCCAGTAGATTAAGTTCCCTGTCCCCTGCCATGAAAATGACCCCATGTTCTGGGAACCAAAGTAGCATGTTCCGCAGGTGAGGAAGTCAGGAGCAATGGAAAGGGCATCTTCCGAAAAAGCTCTCAGGAAAAAAGAGCTAATTTTCTGTGCCTTGTCTGTAATTCAAGACGGGACAGAAAGCTGCTGCACGTAGCACAAGGGGTTAGCTGGTGAGAAACATGATGTCAGAACTTGCTGGCCCAAGAGACGGTGATCCGAATAAACAACTTGCTTGGGGCTCTGCACAAATCTCTCAGCAAGATGAACTGCAAAAGCAGCAACCTCCCATTAAGCAAAACATTTGCCTCCATGAGAAGCAGGAGAGTGAGCAATTGGGAGAGAGTGAAGGACACTTCACCGGTGGCGTTGCGACATGATCGCCGCCTCAGTGCTGCGAAGGCGGCGCCCGCACAGGCCCCTCGCTGGCCTGGTCAGGTCGCAGGTGCAGCTCGGGTTTGATGCGGTCACAACATCCCCACAGGGCTGGCAGCTCCCTCCCAGGCCCAGGCCGTCGGCCTCTCACCAGCTCCATAGGGCTACCCTGCCAGGAACAGGGCCAATTTTGAACAAGAAAAGAGCACACAGGAGGCCTGGCATAGCAAGAGCCAGGGTCCTTGGCCAAAGCTGTCACCCTCCATTAACATCACTACCTCAAAGCAGGCTCCAAGAACTACTAAAGCCTCCAAAGCACCAACTGCACGCAAGATGTGGCCCCCTCACCACACTACCTTCCCTCTGTGGTGCTCCTCAAGAACAGCCCTGGCTTTCTCGGGCATTAAAGCATGACTGGAGATGTAATCTTGTGGCTAAAAGTGTAAATAAGCAGGTTGGTCAAACTGGTATCAATCCGCTGGGCTCTTCATATTGGGCAACCAATCCGGAAAGGTTCAAGTCAAACCTATGGCTGTTGCTTTCTATAGGTGTATAGAAGCAGTAGGTGCTTTGTGATCTGGTGACGAGGCAAGGAAGGTTAAGCCTCGCAATCATGAGACGTGAAATAGGAAGAGAGCAGATGTGGAAATCTGATATCTCTAGCTAATCAGAAAAGCAAGACAAAAACCACACTATGTGAAGTTGGGTAGGGTCGCACGGACCCAAATCCTGCTGGGTTATGGCAGGGAAGAGTTGCTGAAAATAAGTTTCAGAAAATATTAAAAAGAATAGGAAAGATTTAAAAAAAATCCCTTGGAAAACTTAAAAGCTGCACAGGAAAGTTGAGTCCCTTTGTTTTAATTACAAGGAACTCTGCACAAAAACAGGACACTATAGAAGTGAACAAAATCTAAAAATACAGGAAAGACGGGCAAAAACCAAACCACAGTCTTCAAACCAAGCAAGCAAATAAACACACCATTTCCTAGAATAGTACAGGTCCCAGGGCTTTGCCTTTATTAACTTATGCAGCTGAGCCTCTAACCACTTATAATCACGAGGGCTCAAAAGCCCTCTTGCAAATGGCCATTTCCTGACAGGGCTGCCTTTCTGCAGGCCTCCTTGCCCACTTCTCATCTCTCAGCAAGTCAAAACCCCACAGCAAATGTAAGAACCACCAGCTCACGCACCAAGGGGAATCAGTAAATCCTCCAAGAGTCACACAGGTTTAATGTCAGGCTACCAGTCAAATAAAGATATTTTAACTCTGTACTAAGACACCCTTATATGTGAGCTACTGAGTTTACAACCCATAGCTAAACAACTCTATGGTTGGGGCACTGAAGGGTGAGAAGTATCTCCTTACTAGTCAGCAAACATTGACTTATGTCATGGAAAAGTAATTTTATCTCATAGACATAGCTAAACAAGATTGCATGTAGTTATGCTGAGTTGTAAACTAAACTTGCTTACTGGTTCTGGTCTTCTGTAGCCTGAATGGATAAACTGATTTAGCCCTTCACAGCTTTTAACCTTCCACTTATGTGGTACCCTCAAAAAGCTACTTCACTGCTATGTTGTCCTGTGCTGATTTTATACAACCACCTTCCTGCCACCCTACATAAGAGCAAGGAAAGCTT